AAACATGGGATTTAATAGTGTTACAGTTTAATAAATTTAATAATAATAATTAATATTAAATAATAATAATAATAAATAATAAATTAATATAATAATATAATATTGGGTATTATACACATAGTATATATCTTTTCAGGTCGTATATACACTTGTAAAATTCTTATGGTTGCAAGCAAAGCGTTCTGGGGAAGATTCAAGTTTTTTTAATCAGTTTTTGGGCCCAATTGACCCAATGGGTTTAGCCTTTGCTGTGTGAGCCCCAACAACGGCACTCCCTCTGATCATATATGCTTGGACCTCTCTTTCCTGCAATAATGCACGTCCATATGTGTTAATGGCTCAACATGAAGGGCCCATGAGCTATCATTCAATTCCCTCCTCGGTTTTTAGGCATTTGTATCGTTCGTTCGCAATTTCTGCATTATATATATATATTATATATTTATAGTATATATTATTTATTATATATATATATATATATATATATATTTATATATATATATATATATTTTATATATATATATATATTATATTATATTTTTAATATATATATATATATATATTATTTATATATATATTTATACATATATATGGGATAAAAGTAACTTTAAAAGTATACACATGAGAGAATTACGCCTTTCGTGAACATATATTTTTTTGTGATTCGTTATGTTGGGTTAAGCTGCATTTTTTTTAAGCCTCTAAATGTCTGAGTTTACTCAAAAATTAACTTATTTTTGTTCCATATTAAAATAAACAAAGATTTGTTTCACAAGAGAATTGTATTTGTCGAGCTAACAAACCGAATAATTTTTTTTTTTTTTTAGAAAATATTATTTAGGAAATTGGCAGATTATATTTATGTTAATTTACGTGGTAGACGACTCATTTAATTTTCACTAACACTAAATTAAACAACTTGAATTATCAACAAGGCCCCGTGGCATGGGTGCAAAGCTTGATCTTCACACGCTTGAGGGCCTATCTGAAGTCTACCTGGAGGGGACTTTGTCCGGGAATCAAACCCCCGCTGCCCGGCCCTTGACAGGCATCTGGTGGCATCAGGGCCTAATCAAACGTTGGCTGTTTACGCTGAAAAAACCCGCACGTAGTGCCTCCAACGTTAACGAACAAGCCGGCTGATCCGGCGGCTCTCTGGACTATAGGTATTGTCGCCCCCTCTTAAAAACAACCGGGAGTTTTATTGCCCTTAGTTGGTGGGAGGCTGTTAAACATCTTAGGCCCCCCGGAAAAACTATTGTTTTTTTTCCCTAGTGTACAATGACTCCCACTTTTCACGGGGGGGTTGTTGCATCCCCCGCCAAGTCTTTTGCTTCGTAGAAGGATTTCGTGTGAGGTTAGGGGACCAGTCCCTCCGGGGTTTTCCCAGGTGTAGATTATGAATCTCTCTCCCCTGCGCTCCGGAGTAAAATCAGGTGTTTTCAAGGCTTTCCAGTATTTAAAGGGTGTTTGAGGAATTTATATGTGCAGAAAACGTTTTGTCATTCTAGATTCTATTTCACCTCCCTTGAATGGAGATGTTAATGTACACAGTATTCAGCCTAGAAGAAAAGGATTTAAAAAGGATCTCATTGGCTTGGCATCTTTGTTTTGAATATTTTCCCTCCATCGTTTTCCCCGAATGTGATAATGGGCATTGTTGTGGGCCTTTAAAGGTGAGATCCTCAGACATTACCTTCCCCGGTCCTTCCTTCTTTTTTTCCCCTCTATTGTGTGTTGGGTTTGTAGTAATCACCCAGTTATTTTTCCTCCAGCTTTTTAAAAACGGAAAATAGTTGCAATTGTCTTCATTGAAACTATTATTTCCGTTGCCCCTTGGAAACTTGGTTTAATTTCTTGGGGATTTCCGTTTCTCAATGGTGACACTCGTGCAAATCCAGTATCGTCGCAAAGGATGATCAGTGCATGGTTTACTCTCTGCTAGTTGTGAGGATGAGGGGCAGGATAAGGGGAGTACTGTTCCCTTTGGAACAGAGTCTTCACTAGGCAGCTTCCCCATTTAACCATTTACCACTACTCTTTGTGTTCGATTGGTTAGAAAATTGAAGATCCACCCGCCCTACTTTACCAGTTATCCCTTTTGCACTCATTTTGTTTTGCTATTACACCATGATAGCACTTGTCAATGGGCTATGCAAAATCTTTTGTGTACTACATCTGCATTCTGTTTGTTTTCCAGTGCATCCAAGGCCTACCCTTTAGTGGTCCAGTAGTTGCGAGAGGCAGGAGCGACCTGCTTTGAGCTCTTGTTGACCTGGATTGTGCAGTTGTGGGAGTCCAAATGGTTTGCAGTCCTGCTTCTTAGAACTCTTTCAAAGATTTTTTATGATGTGGGACGTTTAAAGTTATTGGTTTTATAGTTCTTAGCTATTGTTTTGCTGCCACCTTTATGGAGTGGGGTTATATTCGTTGTTTTTAGTGACTGGAATCTCACCTGTGTCTATGCTCCTTCTCCATAGATACTTAGGGCCCCTGAGAGGGTTTCTTGTAGTTCTTAATGAAAACAGAGTTCCACTAGTCTGAGCCTGTGGCTGAGTTCATGGACATGTTGTCAATGGCTTTCTCAAAGTCTAGTAGATTTAGGGTTATGTCAGAAATTTTGGCATACATTGACAGGGTTTTGAGGCCTGGGTTCGATTCCCCGGGGGGGTGGAAACACTCGACGCTTTTCCTTACATCTGTTGTCCTGCTCACATAGTAAACAAGTAGGTTTCCCGGGTATTAGTCGACTGGTGTGAGTCGCATCCTGGGGTACAAGATTGAGACCACAATGGAAATAAGACAGACAGTCCTCGATGACGTACTGACTTTCTTGGGTTATCCCGGGCAGCTAACCCTCCGGGGTTAAAATTAGAACAAAATTTATCTTATCTTATCTTTCGTACCTATGGGCAGATTTTTAAAATTGGTAAGTGATAAGTCTCAATGACGAACACTGAGAGACATACACAGTGAGGTGTGTGTGTCTCAGTGTATAAACTGCATACCTAGAGATTACTGTTTAAACCATACTTTACGGATTAAAATATTTTTGACGATTAGTGAAGGGAATGCAGCCTTTATGACTTGTGTAGTCGATAGGCTTTAAAACCAAGCAATCGAGTAAAGAACCGTATTGTCCCATTTAACAAAGTGGATGTTTGGTGACTGTGTGAGTCTCCCCGGTAAAACGACCAAAGGACACAGTGGAGATAAACCACCTTTTATTATTTTC